GGAGATATTAAGTACGACATGTCTAGCCAAAGATATAGTTTACAAATGAATTCATTTGAAATTTGTGTAATTAATATATGGCTCACGTACAATTTAAGCAATTGTTTCTCTCATAAACATGGCATATCATATAAAATTATCTAAACAGGGCATGTTATATGAGATTAATCATAATGAGTCATAGAGATCTCGTGTTTCTCATCGAATTACAAAAACAAACACATTATAAATATAAGGAAGGATATGACATAGGTTTTAATCATGCAAATAGTTTCCTTAAAACCACTCAATTTCTCATATAAACATTGATACTCTGACTGTTAGATCTACATCATAAACTTTAGATCTAAAACCATATAGCCATGATTAATTCAAAGAGATTAACATTTATTTTCAAAACAGATCCAGAATTGGAAAAAATTGAAGAAAAAATCAAAGAAAAATCCAAAAAATTCTCGTTACTGTTCACTGAACATTACTGTTCATCCGAACCCAAAAAATTAAATCTTTAACCAGAGATTTAAGATCAAAAACCCAATAAAACTTAAATCCCTAAGAATTAATCAAGGTGGCTCTGATACCACTTGTTAGATCTACATCATAAACTTTAGATCTAAAACCATATAGCCATGATTAATTCAAAGAGATTAACAAATAAACAAAAGAGCGGAAGCTTATACCTGAATCCATAGATTGATCTTGATTTTGGGTTTTGGATCTTCTAACCTTAGGGTTCCTCTAAAACCGAATTTCTCTCTTAGATGGGGGTGAAGAGAATTAGAGAATGTAACCCTAGGTTAGGGACCATAACCCCTTATTTATAGATGTTGTACTTTTGTAATTTAGCCCCTCAATAAATTACAATTACAACCTGGTATCTGCACATATAACCCAATGACTTATTTAAATACCAAGTTAACCCAACTTAATTGATCACTTTAGTGGGTTATCCTGAAAGATAGCAATACACATTGATTAATCATATGTGCCCACAAATAAATTTATTAGATTAAATCCAACACTGACAACTACTCGTAGTTGGCATTCGAAGTAGGTCTCTTTTTAACTCTTCCAAACAAAGGTATTCTATTCATATTCTCAATTCTGGCACTACAGATGTTTGTTGCTAGGGACAATATTGCAGTGCATCTACAAAGTCTCTTAAAATCCCAGTCGAAGGAAATAAGTCTCATTTCAGAAATAACCCCATCAAAAGTAGACTTATTAAATAATCTATCCTTAACAAATCTGTGTTGGGAATATTAGCTGTTTAGACAATAATTAGCATGAAATACAGTTAATAATTTTCAGATAATAATGAATTAATATTATAACACAGATGTAAGAAATAATTCAAACGAAAAGAAATGAGGGTTAGAAATACGGCCTGATAGTCGAGACGTGCAAGGCACTGTCCCAAGAATCTAATTGCCCCCACTCGTACAGGGCTACGTGGCAAAAGTTCTCGGAGATACAACGACCCTCGGTCAGGCGACCTCCTTCTCGTCGGCACGAGCTTCAAGAAGGTTTTACGAATTCTTCGTGACTTTCAGGGAACCAACAAATCGTAACATCAAGTAAGCGTAAGAGGAAGAATAGAGAAGAAGAAGAAGAGCTTGTTATATTTCGCTGTGTATTTTGGCCTCGCAGCTTGCGGTTTATATAGAGGAAGAAAAACCGTTATTTAGCTAGCCATTTAACACGTTTTTAATGCTAATAAACATTACTGTTTAATACATTTTAAATGCTAATTACGTTATAAACGTTACGCAATAATTATTAATCATTATCATATTAAACACGTTTTAATTGTTCCAATTAGCAAAAAATAAAAATGTAGCAGGTCAAGAGCCCCTCAATCCGGAGCTGCATTCGTGTCCGCAGGTCGTGCGTGCGCGCCACCCGACCCGAACCCGAGCCCGACCCGACCGGCGCGCGCGTGTGTGGTGTGGACCATAACCTTTATTTTTTTCTAGGCATAGAAAAGAAAGGGAAGACTTATAAAGAGTCTATCTTCCCATCTCTTTTCCAATATGGGACTAAACTTTTCCTCTTTTCCTCTACAAACCCAAGTTTTAAGTTACAACTCTAACAATCTGAACTCATATAGTGAGGAATTGCCTAGTCCAATTATATTTTTTTCTTTTTCACTTGATTCAGGCTCCATTTGAACTTCCATATTAAACAATATATTTCCCATGTTCAAAATGTGTTCATCTAATGTCTAATTTCTTTGCAACTTAGGTGTCATATACTCTAGATTGTTGGTTTATGCCATAGCTCTCCTAGCCTAGTTTCCTGGTCATTCCATCCTCAGTATGCTAATGTTCTTTTGCTTGAAGTTCGTTTCATCCTCGCCATGATTAAAAAAAATTAAAAAAAAATTTGTATGTTAGTATTTGTGGTTAGAACCCTATAACGATGGAGAAGGGATGACCACGTGTTTCAATAAAGTGGAATGTATAAATTTTATACAAATAAATATTATAGAAACTTAAAATAAAAATGAAAAATGAATGGCTGCATGTATTTCTCCATCCGTCCACCACATGATTAATATTTACTAATTCAGCAACTTGATTTTAACGCTCAGTCCATATCAGTCCACCATAAAAAAAAATAAATTTTCCTTCTAAGTTTTCTATGAAGGGTTTTGTAGTATCCTATAGGGGGTCATGTATTATACAAATTATTTTCTTCATTACTTGTTTATCAGGATATAGATTTAATTAGTTTCGAGTAATGTGTTCAAGTAAAAAGTTCTAGTGTAGTCTCCTTTTCCTTTTTGACTTTTTGTAGTTGCCAAAAACACCCTAATGTTGGTAACTTTAGACTGCTACGTGGCTAATTTTAGTTGGTCATCTTGCCACATGGATACATGCAGTGATGATTACATTGCCTGCACAGGATACTTTCTCATGACTAATAGTCTTAATAACCAATTATAAAATACACAAATACGCACTAAGATTTTCAACCAATTGATTAGTTTTAAAATTGAACAAAATATGTAATTAGCATGTTGATGTTTAGTCTCCAAACTAAGTATAAGATCTTTTGTTTTGAAGAGTTAAGTGATGATTGCAACGTGCATCTGGCGGTGCTTATAATAAATGATAGGTATTGTAAAGAAGTGAATCTGTCACGTGAATCCCTCACACTGAGATTGATCTCAAATATGTTTAAAAAATATATATACGAACATCTCCTCTTAAAAGAAATTGCTACTGCCATAAAACTCAAGAACTCACTTGCATCTAACTTTTAACTACAAACTTGGAGAATAAAAATCCATTCCAATTTGCCAAAGTTAAATGTCAACAACCATAAATTGGTAGAACAAAAATAAACATGAGAAAATATATTTTAGAAAAAGTAAATCTCTTTCTATCTATATAAAAGTTAGAGCAATATAAGAGCAATCTACTAACCGGCAAACATATTTAAACCAGAAGCAAAATCATAAAAGAGAACGTATGCATGAGTGAAGTTAGAACCTACTCACAAATAAGCAAAAGTTTAAAAAATTGTATGTCATTGTTTCTTCACAATTAAGTTAAGCATCCGTAAACATAAAAAAGAAAAAATATATGCCACATATACAAATGAGAATATATTACTCTCATTTCTTTTAATCTCTCTGTTAGCTAAACCAAAGTCATTTTCTTTTTAGGGATTTTACTCAGAGACGGTAAAGATATTGTTTAATCAATGGTGAGGATTGAAGGTAGTTTTTACAGCTCTTTTTTATATAGAAACTGTGATAAAATAATGGGAAAATGCCAAAAGTCACTCCTAATGGTAAGAGATTTTAAATATAGATAAAGATTAGGGTTTTCTCATGTCAATCACCTTGAAATAGGGTGATTATATGAAAACTATCTTCAAAGTTTAATTTATATAGAAACTGCCTTTAAAGGAGGTCCCAATTGCTATCAACTACCTTGATCTATTTTCTAATAAAAATTTCACTAAAGTTCTCAAAATACCCTTAAAACACAAATGTTCGGCACATGACGGGTCTTCTTAACCAAATACAATGTTTGAGATGTGTGTGTTTTAATGATATTTTTGGAAATTTACTTAATATTTCATCAGAAAACAGGTCAAGGTGGTTGATTGCAAACGAAAATCCCCTTAAAGGTGGTTTCCATATAGATTTAAACTTTGAAAGTGATTTTCGTACAATCAGCCTTTTTAAAGGTGGTTTCTATTTATAAATCCTAATAATTGTCCAGTGAACAAGCTAGACTTTGTCCACGAACAAGTCAGGATGCTAGCATTGGCCGGTCTCTGCTATCCTCTAAATGGATCTCGTAAAACACGCATACTTAATTTGTTCTAATACTAGTTTGTTCCCCACACATTGCACGGGAATTCCAAAAGAGAAGAAATTTTCACTGTAGACCCAATCTTAGATTTAATCCCTAAAACCGATCCACTTTAAATTTATTTATGAGAATCGACCCACTTTGAGTTAATTACGGTACTAATTAGTCGGAGTTGCCAACCCCGACTAATTAGTAGCCTAATTACATGCGGGGTCAGGGAGCAGAGAAGGTTTGCAGCTGCTAATTAGACTACTAATTAGTCGGGGTTGGCAACCCCTACTAATTAATACCGCAATTAACTCAAAATGGGCCGATTCTCATAAATAACTTTAAAGTGGGTCGGTTTTAGGGATTAAATATGGAAATGAGTCTACAGCAAAAAAAATTCTTTTTCCAAAAGAATATGGTGAAGTGGGAGTTTATTTGCCGACGAGGAAGCTGCACTAATGATACTTTTGTTTTGGGGTCAGCTTGCCAACAAAAAGAAAAGAAAAAAAAAGAAAAAGAAAAATGACCCTTCTCCTTCTCGTAGGAAATTCCTAACTATGGGATGTACAGGGAGCCCGTTATTTGTTACTTCTCCAAGCAACTTCATGCGAATTTAACAACCATGGGTGCGCGAGGCCATAGTATCTGCAAGTCCCGCAGATAAAGATGTATTGTTCAATAAAAGGGCAAACAAGAATAATATCTCCAATAAATAAACCCTGTATAACATAGAGGGAATTTCAGTTACTCTCTAAAACAAGCCTCGATACAAGAAAGCACAACAACGAATCTCACGCAGGCCGAAAACAGTGGTTTGTGTTAACACAAAGTGGGAAGTAGATGTTCTATCACATTATTCATCCCCTTCCCAGCACACAAAGGACTAACCTAACAACATTATATTACATATCGCTACATCATACAACAACAACCAGATACTAGTCAAAACAACCGAAAGTTAGCTTCTTCCCTCCGCTGTTCTCACAAACGACCTCCGCCACCAAATTTGAAAAGCTTTGCTCAGATTAGGGCACTCCATCCCCTTACCTCCAAATACACGAAACCATTCTACGAATAAACTTTGTTGCTGATTCAGCGGAAGAGTAAGGAGAGCTTGCCCTAGGCCTTCTTCTAGCATTCCGATGTCCAATCCCTTCGAACATCTCTGTAACCAACCAAAATCTAATAGCATCGGTCCAAACCATGAATCTAGAACAGAAAATCTCACGTTACCCGGGCATCGTAATTTCCCTCTTCCCAGGGCTATGAATATGTGTGCTGAGATCCTGCTGAGCTCATAGCGTACCATAGGTGATGCCCGTGGATGCATTCTAATCAGTTCCTTTTGATTTGCCCACAAGTATACAAAATCTTCTGCCATTTGCTTGTCTATGAGAATCTCCAACAACCAATTGAGGTTGTCCACTTGCTTTATGACTCGTTCCACCAGCGGCTTCGCTTTTTTATCTGCATGAGTGGGATCTGAGGATTCATTGAATAGCTCCACAAGAGAGTTCAGACATGAGTGACAAATTCTGTACAAGCTCTCCTTGTTGAGTCCAGCAGGGTCTTTCTGGTAAACTGAGCTCTTAGATAAGAGGCCATTGACTAGAGACTGTAACTCCTTGCGAGCATTAACGTTAGTTCCCTCCGCAATGGACTGTATGAGATGAACAGCTAGATCATCTGAGCTTCTTGTACCTTCAAGCTGTAGCCTGGAAAGAATATCTTGGGTCGTTACTTCATCAAATGTGCACCTTGCAAACAAGCTTTTCAATTTCTCCTCCTCACTCTCGCTCCATGGAACAGCTTCAATATAGTTTAAACAGGATTCTACACCTCTATCGAACAATATTTTGGACGATACCTGAGCAAAAAATTTGAGAATCAACATACTGGCAACTAATACAACAATAGCTAAGGGAACGACTTGCAACAAGGTCAGATCACTAACCAACTAGAAGTCATCAGCACACAGAAAGCAAACATGCACAACATTTAATATCCTCAGGCCCAATCATGGAAATTTTATCAGTACCTTGTCTCGTTTTATTTAGACCACAGATCACTTTGATTGCAGCTTTCAGCACCAAAAGAAAAAGAGAAAAGAGGAATGAGGACAACAGAACAATGAAGGAAAAGAAAAGAAGAAGTAAAGGAAAAGGAAAAGAAAAGTGAAGGATTATACTATGAACTTGAAAAGAAAAAGAAAGGGAGGGATTATTTGTTATAGCTTCTATTTTACTAAAGCCTTGCTATATAGTCAAGTAATCAGACTGTTCTCTGAATGTTATAAATTTACAATAAATATATAACTTAAATTAGGCACCACAAAGAAAATGATGTTCCATTTATCCTGCCCTTTGGCAAAAGGCACTCTGACTGTTAGGTTACTTAGTTCATGGGATAAATTATTCTGTATGTTTTGTCCAAAACATCTCCCCTCATTCCATGAAAAAGTAATCTGAAATATGAATATATCCGTAACAGAATGTAGTCCTCGAGATTAACTTTTTTCAAGATTTGATACCTTCAAGCAAGTTTTTTTAATAACCATTTAGTGAAAATCTATACACAGAGATACTGAGTAAGTTCTGGCATTATCTTGGTCCATATGAGCCAGAGAAATGCACTTCAGATACCACTCTCTAGTTCATCAACCTCTTTCAACTATATGGCCAAAAGTAGATAGCACTCAGCAGCAGGATCTATAATAGTGTGGCTGCAAATAAAAACTACGTATTGATGAATCAGAATATCTCAGAGTAAATTTATCTAATAAGGTTTGTCTGTGTTTTCACTATCATCTCAGATCATGAAATTGGTATGGTTGCCTAGAAAAAACTCAAATAAATGTGGTCAAACTTCAGCCAGAATCTCAGTGTATTATTTGTAATTAAGGGATGCACATTAATTAAGACTTGTGCCATCAACTTGTTGCCAAATAATGAAAACCAGATCACTATAGGCTGATATTCCTTTTATATGTTTCATTTGCCTGAATGCTTTTGTTAATCATCCCAGATCATGAGATCAGTACGGTTTGCCTAGCAAAAATTCAAATCAATATGTTCAAGGTTCTGCCAAACTCTCAGTGTCAGATTATGAGACCAATTAACTGTGGAGGCTGGTATTCCCTGTATATATTTCATTTGCATGAATGCTTTCACTATCATCTCAGATCATGAAATCAGTATGGTCTGCCTACCAAAGGTCAAGTCAATATGGTCAAATTTCTGCTAAAGTCTCAGCGAAAATATTTCTAATCAATTGAAGCATATTAAGACTCATGCTGCCATCAACTTGTTGCCACTAATGA